CAGCGACACTGCATCGAACAAGGGAACCACTTCCAGGTTATCAAAACATGCTGTTGAACTGAATTTTGCAGCTGCATTTTCCAATGTACCATGGGATGCATCAAATCCAAGGCTGCCTTCCAAGGTTCCAACGCTGTCCAGGATGAGAGGATCGGGGGAGGCGGCGAGGGCTGCGCTGGGGAGAAGTCGTCGCTGCTGGCGGTGCAGGCGGAGGAGAAGGGCCCCTCGAGCACCATCGTGCTGGACTACGCGCAGCGGCTGTCGCGCGAGATCCTGGAGCAGGCGGTCAAGCAGTGGGCGGTGACCGAGAGCAAGTACAGCGACATCCCCTTCATCGAGAGCGACGTGCCCTGAGCTCTCCGGGGCCTGAGTGTGCTCTGTGCGTGTGCCAGTGCAGAGGAAGCACCCCCAGCTGCCCTCTGAGCATCACTGTGGGGAGGGGTCTGCAGGGAGAGCCTGAGAAAAGTTGCCCTGTAGCGTAGGGTGCTAACAAACTGATTGGATCGCAGTAGAACCCGTTCATCGAGTGTCATTTGTTGTCAGCCATGCATTGAGTATACTCTGTCTTTGTATGTGTTGGATGTGACCAGAAATAAGCGTTAAAAGGATGAGAAGACTGTGGCTGCCCTGCACCTCTACAAACACTGCCACAGAGGACAAAACGTGGATCATTTCTATGTTCTGCATAAAAGATCAGTGATCTGTCTGTAGGTGGGATGAACTCTCTGTGCTTGGTGAATTTGTGTGTGTTTCGCTGAAATTAAATCAAGGTCTGCATGTAGCAAAGGTTACTGCCATCATAAATTTTACTTTTGATTCTGTGACCTAACGGAATCTGTAAGATCACAAAATGAAGGTGATAGGAGGCACTTTGTAAACCCCAGTAGTATTCAGGGAGCCATTTGGATGATGATGCTATTCACCTTCCATTGAAGTGAACCAGGGAGAAACATGCCAGTGTTGATAAGCAGTGCATTATCATTAACAGATGCTTCTGTAAATGCATGAAAGCTTTTCTCTAAAAGCCTGCAGTAAGATGGGTTAATGACATCTGGTCACTGCATTCAGACCAAAGCTGTTTGGTTTTTTGATTTTGTTTGGGGATTTTTTGTTAGGGTGCCAGTTTGGGAGGATTTGGTTTTGTTGTTTTACCAGAGAGATGTGCAAAAACTACTGATGGTAGCTAGTGAAAAGAACCTTCAAAGGTGTGACAGTGCTTTAGGACAATTTGTTTCATGGGAGCTGTGGTTACATTACACTGCAATTCCTCTCTGAAGTACCACCCTTGGGACAGGCAGGACGTCTTCCTTCAGCTTCTGTAGGCTGCTGCTTCCCCACTGGAAAACCTGTTCATGGCGCTGCCAGCAGGAGCCACAGGAGCCCCAGCACAGAGCAGTGCCCTGAATGCAGAGTTACAGACTAAGCCTTAGGCCCGAAGCTCAAGGGCTGCATTTCTCCCCCGGTGCATCCACACACCGCTCCCTGCTTGCCCGGGTCTCGCAGCCTGACCCGCTGCACTCACCGCTGGCGTCTGACAGATCAGGACACCCACGGATTATTTTCATTCATCCCAAAGGTACAGTGTTGCTGAGGTTTATACAAAGTGAAGGCCTTCTAACAGCTTGGCTTTTACCACCTGTTTGTTCTGTTCTCTGTGATGCCCAGTTTAAAAGACATAGTTCTTTTTCCTAGATCAAAATGCTTTCCATTTTGTTTTAATATTACAGAGAAATGCTTTCCATACTGGCTAAAGCTGTTACTATTTTTAAAAGGTACACATAGTTCTAGTAAATGATCCAAAGCAGGATTTTTCAAGCAATGGGAAGCAAGCAAAAAGAGGACCATGTCAAATGCTGTAGACAGTCTATGAGCTGAGCTGTTTTGCAAATGTTGTGACACAAATGTAGGTATTTGAAATTCCCCTATATGGGAAGTGGTTTTATCAGGAATGAAAGGTGAAAAATGCTTCTTTGTGACACAGCACAAGGCTGCCATTAAATCCCAGTGACCAGACTGGATTCCCAGTGACCTGCTATTAAGGCTCTTCTCAGGCTTTTGCTGGAAAAAGTAACAAAATCAGCTTATGCTGTAATGTTGTCCTCTTTGAAGTTACGTAGTTGTCTTCAAAGCTGTTTGCAAAGTGGGACTAAGGTTTTATGGTTCACTTAAATTCTCCTGCTAAGAGTGATGTTCCTTCAAGTTCTACAGCATATAAAACACTTGCTCATACTCTGTTTGCTCTAAAATACCTCCAGGGATTAGTGTGAGTTAGAAAGCAAAGCCAAATCACTGATCCAAGTCAGTACATATCAACTGGATATTGATTAAGCACAGTATTAAAAAAGATTCCTATTCTTACTCTTGCTAAAATAAAGCTTTAATAAAAAAAAAAAAAAGGGCCAACCTTTCTAACATGAGTGTGGGCTTGAGAATGTGAACACTGCTAACCACAGTAATTAAAAATAAAAAACCAAAGCTCCACAGCCATTGTTGGCCAGGCAGATGAGGAGCAGGTAGAAAACTGGACTCGCTGTCAGAGCACCTTTAGGTGGATCTGCCCTGGCCCTTGTACAAGGCACCCTGGTGGTGGCCACGGGCAGTGAGGTGCTGCAGTGCGTCCTGTTGCCATGTCTCAAATCCTTCCTCTGGATGTAGCCTTAGCATCTGACACTCTTTAAGAATATCAGATGCACTTTTGAAAGCAGTTCCCTGCTGGCAGGCTGCCACTGCACGGTCCAACAGCAGGCAGAGTTATAAAGCAGCCTGAGGTTCCAGCACAGCATCCCGTGTGATCAGCACTGGGAATGTCCCCAGAGGAGGAGGTCGCCCAGTCACCCTGACCCTGCCCCAAGAGCTGCTCCCCTGGGAGGAGCTGCTGGGTGGGGTGGCTGCCCTGCCTGCCCCCAGAGCTGCCCGGGGTTACTCAGCACCAGCTCTTGGTGGCCCAGCCAGTCCCTCACCTGCAGCTCCAACCTCAGCCCTCACTGGTGCCTGGAGATTACAGCAGCTTCAGAGCGGCCCCACGCGCAATTCCAGCAGCTTTGGGATGCTGTCCGTGACACTGGCACTTCAGGGAAGGCATGCAGCAAATGGAAAGCAAACAACAGGGAGATGGCTTCTCACCAGGAAAATCATCTCTTTTACAGGATGCTGTCCTTATAAATAATGCACTTACCCTTAACAGAAAATAAATCCATTCAGTGCTACAGTCTGGTAAGAGATGGAGGGAGATCTCTCTCCAGACCTCTGGTGTGCATTTAACAGGCCCAATACTAATACATAGTAAAAATAAAGACTTCTTCACCTAAACACATTTATCCTAAGCTGTGCTAGAGTTTTAGAGCTACTGACAGTGGGTTTCCAGCTAAGTTATTGATTATTTGACTTGATTTTGTGTAATAAAGGCGCTCCAGTTTGGGACTGGCATACTCTGCAAAACTGTTTAGGAATTAAAAATACATTTGCTTTATATTTTCTCCAGGAAACAAGATTAATCTGAGTGGATATGATGTAACTGACTTGATATTCTAATAATGGTTCAAAATACATTAACTGCAGCACAACTTTGTAAAGTTGACGTCTCTGGACTAAGGCACATCAGTATTCCCAAATAAAACACACTACAATATATTTTTACAATATTTTTTGTGGAAAATATTTTCTTGTGGACCAAATAAAATTCAACTTAACATCTGCTTGTATGCCTTTTATTTGAAAAAAACACAAGATTACACAGCTTGGACGGGATCTTGTTACGTTGAGCTTGGGATAATTCCTGTTCACATAAATTCTGGAAGCAACTGAACATGTAAGTCAAAGTTTATTAATTCAAAAGTATGTTCTTCCTAAGATGGTGTACAATCAGAGGAGGCATGATTCCTACTCCCTGGGAATTTCTGTGGTTTTAATTTAATATAGTTGGCTGAAGGCTGCTCCTTTTATACAAAAATAATGGAATTATTAAGATAGCCAATCTTTAAAAAATAAATTAAAAATAGCAATTGTTTATGAATGTAAGACATACAAAAAATTTAAATAATACAGGGGGAGGTTTGCACTTCTTATGGGACCAGCCTGAGACAAAGTCATGTGACACTTTCAGAATTATCCTAGAGGTTTTAATGAAATCTCAATTACTTTTGGAACTAAACTGTCCCATAATAGGTATGTCCACAGTAACATGAACTTGCAGCTGAAATGTTAACAATTTTATCTTACAAGACTCTAGTGCCAAAGCAAGGTGCCATTTTTTCTTAACTTAGCTATCCATTTGCTCACCTGTGATTTTTAGAAAGTCATTCTTCATAGTTCACCTTGATGCCTGAATTTCCTGGACTTTGTTTCCAGGTAACAGCTCCTAGAAAGGAAGGAGCCTTAAGCCATTGCAGACCATTGCTGTTGGTCATAAAAACTGCCCAACATTGAAAACTCTGTAATGGTTCTGCTGCTGCTCTGACTTTTTGATTCCCCAGTACTGGTTACTGACTATGGCATTTGAACAGAAGTTTTCTTCCTTTGGTCTTCAGAGAAGCCAAAATTTGTACTTGTGACCTGCCTGTAAGTGTAGAAGTAAGCAGAAAGGAACACTGCTATGTGATATGATGAAGCATAAAAAAGAAGGCGTAATGTTGAAGAAAGATTAATATCTGTCTGTTGCACATACAATAGAAAAAATAATTTCCCTCCCACAGATACTTGCATCAAGGGGTTCTGGTTATGTTGTGTAACTTCATGTGTAATCAGCATTAGAGCCCCACCACCTTGAATGCACTGGAAATGTGCTGCTTGGTGTTCACAGCAAGGTTTGAGGCACTTTGTTTCTTCACCACTGTAAGACCAAGAAAAACCAGCAATTTTCTGAAATCGTGAAATACTGATAATGCAGTTGAATCAGACATAATGACATTTTTAAAAATGGGCTATGCAAGCAAAGAGAAGTGTGCTCCAGGCTCTGGCAACATTATCACATTTGAAACAATGTTTACATCACACTGCAAGGCTGAAAAATGTCAAACGTTTAATCAATAGAACAATTCTTTGTTCTCAGACTAATAATGTATCAAAGTCTGAGCTTTTATTTAAAAGGATATTTAACACCATGGATTTTGTCTTGCATTTTCCTTGGCAGCTCTGACTGCATTAAAGGTTTAACCATACTTTATTTTCATTGTACACAGAAGAATCTGTGGCACAATCCCAATTTACCAGATCAGCGACAAAGCCAGTAACACAAAAGGTCTCTTGACTTTTTGCTTATTAGGTCACCCCTTAAACTGTGCTCTTTTCCCTAAGGGCTCCTCCTGAACTAAGAGTTGATGCAAAAAATTAAATGTTAATAATTGCGTAAAGCAGTAAAAATAACAATTTGCCTTAAAGTGATTTTTCCCATTATTAATCAGAGATACAATTATTTTCTCATTACAGAGAATGTTCCTGAATGAAAAAAAAAAAAAAAAAAGAAACAAAACAAAACAAAAAAAACTTGTGAATCTCAGGCTAGTTAAAAAAGTCTTGTCCAAATTCATCACACTGCAGTTAATTTATCATAGAACTAAGGAGATGTCAATAGGTTTGATCTTTACAGCTTGAGATCATCATTTCCCAGTGGTTTAAAACAATCATCCACAAATTCATCGCTGACTTCTTCTAGAGCAGCTGGCTTCCATTTGGGGGACTGGTCTTTGTCAATCAGCACTGCCAGATGGAACAGAGAAACACCAAAGTTACTCATAAACTTCCTCTAATTAAATGACTTAAGATTGCATCAAGACACATCACTACAGTGATTCCATGGGGGAGACAAATCCATGTGCTCTGGAGAAGGCAGTTTTTGTAACAGAGATGTATTTATAGTCTAATCAGTGTTCCTGAGTTGTGACCTGTCCAGAGATGTCTCTGGGAGCTGCCAGATGATACAAGGAGCAGTGAATCACTTCAGAAGCAGCCCAAGATTTGAAGGAATGCACCTGAAATGAGTGGATTAGTTAGACCTGCCACTCTTGGCTGACTTACGCCTCTTCATGGGAGCCTGTGAATGGTACCTCAGGGTGCTCCTTTTGGACAAGGCTTTCACACCTCTGTGCAAAATCTGACTCTTGGGAGTACAGGAGATGACTCAGTGGCGCTAAGTGCCTAAAGCTAATTTAAACACATCACATTAATAAGGAAATAACTCACAAGGAGAGAGTAAAGCCAGGTATCTTTGAGGGAACTGAGGGTGTTTATTTGTAAATACTGACAGCTGCTGAGGCCTGGGTAGATTTAACTGTGGCAATCTGTATAATTTTAGTATAATCTTTATGCTGCATCCTGGAAAATACATTACTGAAGATAAAAACCATCACTGAATGAATCACATGTGAAAGACTGACAAGAAAATGCCAATTCCCAAAGAACATTCCCTGCATCATAGGAATGTTGAAGGGATGTCAGTGATGGCTGCATTAGCAAACAATAAAACACTGAATTAATTTGTGTGTAAAAATGACCAGTATTAATGGAATTCCAGAGCATCCTTCCAAGCCCTTTCAGGCTTTAAAAAACTCATAAAGGTGCTACTGAAAATGTGAAATTTTTATTTAAAGAAGAACAGCTGTAAGAACTGTTGCTCTCTAGGATGCACTGATTGCCAACCCTCACAACACACATTCCCTTCAGGTGAGTGAGATCAGCAACTGATTTGGAGATGCACCTGTGGCCTGGAGAAACCTCCTGACCAACACTGCTCACAGCATATAAGAGAGGATGAGCAGGAAGAGGAAGCACATTTCAAATTTCTCTCTTGAGAATGGCTTTTATCTATTTTCTAACAAAGACTTCAGAGGAGGGTGATTCTGAAGGCAGGTGACCAGATATTTCCAAGAATAACAGCTATTTTTGGGTAAGCTGTCATGCTTTTCTAAACTGAGATTGTTCTTACAGAGTGAACTACAAATATCCAAGATAAGGAATGTGTAAGGGGGTAGAATGTTATGTTCAGTGAAAAGAATACCTACCTAAAGATTGTGCTTATAAAAAAAACAGGCATTATGGTCTGCCTACCAACTTGTAGTAAAAAATAAGTGACCTGAAAACTTCTCTTTAACTTTTCTGTCTTTAACCAGTGGTTGAGAATGGCTAGAAAATACACACCATTCAAATGACAACTGCACTAATTAATATTTCTGTAGCTGAATATACACAGGCATCACAATGCTTTAGCTGACATTCCCAAAGAGAAAGGCAAATCAGAGCCCTACACCTATTTACTTGTCAATAGGGAACTAAGGACTCCTTAGAAACAGATTAATTGTAAAAAGTAACCCATTATTTGGGAAACTGCAATTCCACTGAAAACTGAATTCATGAGGACAATTCTTTAAAAGAAAAGTCCTGTAAAAGACTGCTTTTACTGTGCTGTTCAACTGGGTAACTTACTGAAAAGCTATGATCTTGTAGGGTATTTCTGAACACAGTGAAACCACTGACTGGCTTGGATCAAAAGATGCAATTATCCCAAATCAACTATATTTATTCCACTGGAATAGTACTTATCTATGGATTTTCTTCAGTTTCAGCTGAAGTTCACAGTCTAGCCAAAATAGTCCAATTGTTATCCACAAAAGCCAACATTGACTAGAGATGGTTTAAATTAAAGTGGAAAAAGTGTCCATGTGTATGTTATTACAGCTTCCCCTCTGCCATGCTGTAATAAGTGCTGCCAGTTCTTCACTCTAGGGTACTGCTGTCTATTCAAGTTCATCTTTCTGTTTGGATCCGTGGCCAGTTTTACTCTGGAGGATAAACTTAATGCTCATAATGGTCTCTCCAGTGGAGTCTTTAATCTTGTATGAGTCAAAATATTTGTTTTCTCGTAGAATCAGGAAAATATTCCCTTTCTGCATTGGTTTCTTTACATTTTGTATCTCTCCAGCTTGATATCAATCATTAAGAAAACAGAAATTCTGAAGACTTCTAAGGTAGGCTAAGAGAAATTCATTATGATAAAAGTAACTGAGCACAGACATTGTATTAAGGGTTTGTTCTTGTGTTTCACTTTTTTAAATCAAAATCCCAAACCCCTCTGTTCAGTAGCAGAGACTTTACCAGACTTCAGTTAGTGCTCTCTTGCTGAGCTTCCTCAGCACAGTCAAAAGTCTGGTACTTCCAAGCCCCTGACATTCTGTTTGCTGCCATAAAATCTCTCAGCTCCTGCAGGGCCCTGGGGTGCCCAGGGTACATCTCACATCTGCCAGCCCTGCAGGGGAGGTGGCAGAAGCTGCACAGAAATACCATCTTTGCAGCATCAGCAAGATGTAGAAGACCTTTACAATTCCATTTCAAGTGCACATTCCTGCACAAAGAGTTAGGAGAGTGAGTTAACAGATATCTGTCCCTGAGATTTGCTGCTGAGATTGTATCCTACCTGATGTGTTTGAGCACTCACTCCAAAAATGGCCACTTTTCTTAGGCAGTAAAATTTGAAAAACAATTCTTGGAAACTACCCAGACCTATGCATTTCTTAGTTGACATATTATTCAATTAATCAAGGTAAAAAATTGATACCTAATGTGTTTCAAATCCACTTTTACCATTTTATAGGAAAATGCAGATGAAATATGATCTGTGTGTTCTATACTTTAAGAGTTTTGGCTTTTCTTTAATCACTCCAATCGTAAGAATCATAAACAGGGAAGACTGCCACAGCAGATTTTCAGGTTGAAAGAAAAAAGAGAAATTTTGACCTCAGGTCAAAGATGGTTTTAAAAGCTTTAAAACTACTCCTTAGAAAGTCTTTTAAATTTATGGTTTGAAGCAGATGAAAGGTATTAGTAAAACCTGACCTGTGGCCATCGGCTGCCGAGAAACATTCTTAAACTAAAATCTGATTGTTGTAACTCAACGTCTTTTGGTGGTAGATCTTTTTGTGGTAGAGAAGGTCAAGAGCCAGCTCTTAAATGCTTGTAATGTAAGGCTTTAAGAAAGAGAAAGCTAATACTTAACACTTTTATCAATTTTATTCACAATGGTTGGTCCTGTGAAGTACTTAATAATCTCCCTTCCTGTTAGAAAGTATGCTAAGCACATTGATGGATAATGATTTTTATGAAAATAGAACAAACTACAAAAGTGATCTTGAGTCAGATTCTACACTCCTCTGCAACAAGAGAAACAATGCTAAGACTGAAAATCTGAGAACAGGATCCATGCAGTAAGCAGAGAACAAAAGTGCTTCAGGAACAAATTATTATTATAAGCAATTCCCTCAGTCCAGATGGATCTTTGGGTTTGTTTTTTTCCTTCCTCTGATACAGTTAAACTTTTGCTGCATCATCCTGTATAAAAGAGAAGCATCTCAGCTGCTGTTCTTGCAGCCTCTCTCTTTACAAGCAGTTTGTGTATTTCCTGGCCATACTGACAAGGGATTTGCCTTTGTACTGTACTGTGTTCCCAGATGGTTTCATGACCTTGTGCCTTGCAAGGAGAAATTCAGTTGATGTTCCTCTGACTCTCAGACTCAGAGTTTGTCACTTCCTGAATAACTACATTTCAGCAGCTTATTTGCTGATTTAGAAAATATCCCAGGAAAACTATTTTTAAGATATCCTTGTCCCCATTACCAACATAATGAAAACCACTTTTCAACATGTGTGGTAAATTCTTCAAAGGAGTGTCTGCTAATAAGTGCTAAAGACTACTTAATTAAAATCAGAAACCTTCCCTATGCTGGATGAATAAATTTTGCATCTCTCACCCCAGGCTATATTTAATACAGTGTTACTAATAGCAGACACTCCAACTAATATCCATTCCTCAAGTGGAATTTAAACTGCTTTATAAAGACAGACATAAAACAATGAGGAGGAGGTGATAATATTTGAGTATGTAACTGTGTGAATTAAAAGTTCAACAAAAAGTTGAAATGCCTTGTACTGTAAGCTCCTTGGAAAAAGAAATGCCTTTGCTTTATTTCATCTCGTGATGAACAGTACATAAATAATTGCTACAACTCCAAACAGATGTGACTTTGGGTTTGACAAACTGCACAGTGAATCAGCAGCAGGATCAAGGACAGGCTTGAAGTCTGTCCCCTGGATGCATTTGCTGAGCCATCGCTCTACTTTTACCACAACCTCTCTTGACCAATGCTTTAAAATGCTGAATTAGTTAATGTTAAGTTTACGTATATAGTTTTTTAGTAGTAAGACACTTCCATCCAGAGATATTCTGAACATGGAGGAAAGTAAGTCTTTGCTCTAACAGTTTTCTATATGAACAGTTGTTTTTGATTTTGAGTCTCAAAGCATTGGATAGCTGGCTGAACCATGCACGCAGCTCCTCAGTACTGTCAGTGTTAAATGTGAAATGGTGCAACCAGGGGGATAAATAACATTAGGGAACTGAGACTGCACAAAGGAAACAACATGGCTCTTGTGCTTTGGAACAATGACAAATTTTGGCCACACAGAAGTCCTATAAGTAAAAGTTATGGAAAGCTGGGAAGTTTTTCTGAGCTGTTGCTGCATGCACTTACAGTGATTTCCAAAGAAGCACCACAATTGTGAGTTTGTGTGCTATTAAGCTTGAGGAATGTTTCTGATGTGGGCACTTACCTGCTCGAACCCCTTCGTAGAAGTCATGGCCTTTCTGAAAGATTATTAAAAAAAAAAGCTGTAACATGACAGATTCTATTTATCCCATCTTTCCCTATCCCACTTCTGCTTGAAATGCAAGTTCTCAAGATTCAGTTAAATCCCACTTGTACTGTTCTTTTCTAGGCCTACTTTGTCTTTACTTATTAAAGAGCTGTGTATCTTCTTGCTTAAATGCAGCCACATCTTTTAAAACCAGTCTGTTGACCTGTAGCTGGTCAGGAACTGTGCCACAGTCCCAGTCCTCTCTGTGTAACACCTCAGATCTTTTTCTAAAGAGGTTCATGTAATGGGGCTAAGGTGTGCAGCATCAGAAATTCTTTTGAGAAAGGCCAGTCTTCAGGAATTGTGATATATTCTGCATACTTGGAACATTTTGTATTTAATTAGAATCCTGTAAACATCCAATTGTTTTTTAAGGGAAATGTAAAATTTAAATCCCTAAGCATTCTTCACTAGTAATGGAGCCACAATCTTAGTTTTAGTCAGGCACACATCAGAATTAGACAAATTTTCACTTCTTAAAGTATTTACTTTAACCATCACAAATAACTGGACACATAAAAACCTTATTTTAAAATGTAACAAAACTAATAATAAGGATGTCATGGCAAACTCTGTAAGGAATTTGTTCAGGTAATTCAGTTAGCAGCTCTGTTCCACTGGAAGGATCACTTTCTCATATGCTATCCAAGTACTCAGCACTTAGTACAAATGGCACTAAAATCTCTTGCTGTGATAAATTTTTCATAGACAACACTCTTGAAAGGCAGTGATAAACAACTATTTGCACCCTGCTGCTGGGAACTGAGGGCTAAGTAATTTGAATAGAAAACCTGTTCAAGAACACCAGTTTTAAAACTACAATCCAAACAGGAAACTATATATTAATGTTTTCATACTTTAACAGAAGTCTTCTACATTCCCATCTGACCATCATTAATGTAGTGTCCTTTACATTCCATATAATAACATGAAATGAGAAAAAAGTGACAGCCTCACAAACACGCAGAGATGATACTGAAAGCTAAAACCTATAAGCTCTTGATGAAAGCTACATAAAATTTTTAGTCTCTGGTAAACTGTTCTCCCCCTGTGGCTGGAAAGGGACAAGGGGCTCAGCTGTTGCTTACCATGCATGCTTGGCTCAGTCTGTATTCCATCCGGAGTACCTCCTGTAAGCTCATGGAAGCTCCTTCTCTGAGCTGTCTGAGAGTCAGCTTTAAAGATGTAGGTGACATCTTATTAATAGTCTGGGGAAGACATTAACATTATTTTTATTTTCTTCAATTTAGACACTTTTTCAAGTCTGTCTTTTGTGCATTTTAAACTTTGTGAAGTAAATTATGGCTCTCTTCTCCCTGAGCTCCCTCTGTGACACCTATTCCTCCTGCTCCCTCCCACCAAGCTGTCACATTAAATGAACTTTCCTGCAAAAGCTTTGATCAGCAAGATCTCTTGGATGTGTGCCATCACTTGTGGAAAACTTAGAACTCCTAAGGTCCCATCATTTAAGATAAAATTACTACTAGCCAGAGAAATTACTGTAGTTTGAAAGACATTTTCAAGGAGAATCTTTTGATAAGTGAAGATAAGTGTTACAAGCAATTATACTTTGGTTTTGAATATCATATATATATATTCATTTAGTGTGAATTACTCTTAGATTTACTGATATTGTACGTGATATTAGTATTCCTTAGCATTTAAGTTTTATTTGGTACAGTAGAGTAATAAGGTAGTAATAGAGAGATTGGCAACAAACTTCAAGTCGTTGCTTCATGATCATTGGCAAAGACCAAATGATATGCAAAGAAGAAATCTGTGGAAGAAAATATCACAATAAACCAAACATATTTATCCAGCTTTCCTATCTAGGATCAACAGATACTGAACTAATTTAGCCCTACATTACTCTGCTGATAGAGGCTTGGAGGTCTTGCCTTACTTCTCTTGACAGAAGCACAAGCTATAAATATTGTGCCACAGACAGGATTCTTTTAAAGCACACAAACAAATACTATAAATCTGGCTCTTGGGAGTATCTTTTGGTGAACTGCATGCCAGTAAACAGTAGGGGAAAGTGGGGAGAAAGACAAAATCCTAGTTAAGGAAAAAGAACTGAGCTTTAAAGCTTCACAGGGTTGTGGGGAAAAGGAGCTAAATCTTATTGTTGCTTATCAGTTTTCTTACTCTAAACACAATCCCCCTTTCTCTGTAAACCCAAATAGAAGATCTGTATCATTCATGGTACAATAGACATTTCCTGATAATTAGGACATTTTTATCACTATTAAAAAGCAGCAGATGGTAAGATTTGCCTCTTTACATTATTGTCATTGCAGACATTAGGCTCCTTACCACAGCCTGAAATGGCAGGTTTCCAGTCATCAGCAGCAACATTTTTTTCTAGCTCCCAATTACTCTTCATCCCTCCAGACACCAGCTGATACAGCAGTGACCCATTTTGCCTAGTTAAGCTGGAAAACATGTGATTGCTATACGAGCAGGAGTCTGTGGAATGGTGCCTTCAAAGCACTGGCTCTGTAGTTCTGTAACTTGCATGTAACCACTGTGCTTGAGAGAGAAGCTGGCAAAGAATGAGCCAACACTGGCTCCAAGTGCCAACAGTTCCTCAGTTGTGGTCAAGCTCTCCAAAAATGAGCTGCCCTTCAGCAAATTAAGAAATCTGCTGTACCTCTAACTACATAACTCTGTAGGTCCCACATGGGTGACAGCTCTTAACTGGACCCCTTATTTCCTCTAAGATGCTCTTGCTGGCCTTATCTTTCAGCTGGACCTTTTCTCCGTTGAGTTTCACATTCTGTCACTTAGAATAGAAAGTCTTTGCTCAGACCAGGTTAAATGCTATGCAGATGGCTCCAGGGGTGAAATGGTCATGGCAAGTTCTGGTCAAAGCAAGCACTGGAATGGGGAAGATCTGAAAACAGCACCTAAGGCATCTGCTAGATGCACTAGACTGGTTATCTTGGCATATCAATGAGGCTGAAGGTGGAGGAGGTACTGACACAAATCAAGCTGGAGGAAGAGGAACATGGCAGGAAAATGGGTAGGTGTAATTGCAGAAAAATGAGTCACCAGTGTAGCTATAAATACATTCTCTGTACAAAGAGGAAGGGATTGGTACTAGGGAACAAGCCTGAAAAAGAGACAGGATAGGCTGGAGTGGGGAGTACTAAAATGCAAAGAAGTCTTCATAGAAGTATTTGACATCTATTCCAGTATCTTTCAAACCGTCTTGATTTTGACACAATGATCTCAAAAGCTCTCAGCTGAATTTGCCGGAGACTGAACACCAATAAAATGCTAACAGAAGGTGACTGAATTAAGTGGCACTGACACAGCAGATTTCCTTACAAGCATAAAAGTGGGAATAGTGACTTTCTTTCACTTAAAAGCCCCAAAACCTCCCAGAGGTGTCCAGTGCCTCACTTCCCTTGCAATAGATGAAGACATCCATCATTTACTTTCTGAGCTATCAATGCATTTGTTCAGCCACAGGGAACGGTCCTGGAGGAGCTCTGACAATGTATGAGGAGTATCTATCCAAAGATACACAGGAAAGCTGCCCAAAGACAGAGCATCACTCTCCCTGGTCTACTAACAGAATTTCAGAATGCTTCTTTGAATTCAACACTACCAAGCTTCACTCCTGCAATCTACCTCACCCATTTGCTGCACACACATTAAAGTTTCAGGAGCTATTATGTGCATCCCAGGCTGATCAGCAGATCTGGACAATGGACAATGTGTCTTGTAATCTTTGGTCTGCAGTGTCCTGCACAGTACATTGGCACTCATTCAGTAACAATGAAGGGTTCTAAACCATGAAGTGTCAGAGCTCAGGAAGTGCACTGTCCTGCCAAAAACCTCTAAGAAAGCATTATGTGAAAACCAAGTCAAGTATCTGATGCTTTTCAGGTTTAGCCCCTGCACTTACTTCATCCCACTAGAAATAGTACACCTGCCCCTCAGATTAAAGCTTTTTGGCTCATGTAAATCCTGAAAACAAAGTAGCACTACAAAGTTTAAAGGTTTGAAAACTACTGAGTTCAAAGTGTTAGTATTCTAGCTTTCTACCTGTTTGTAGCTGGGTTCAAAATGTGGTGTAAATCATGAAGTCATTCTCAAGTAGGATTTTAACAACTTTATATTCTTCTTCACACAATATTTCAGTGTCAGATATGTGACAGCCTGCCAAGCAGGCATGTTTTGAAGTACTGTAGGTCAAAGAGACCAGGGTACTCGGGATAGCATGGCATACTTGGATTATTGCAGAACTAGGAGTTCCATTTTATTAACCTTCTTGATCCAAGGTACAAGGTCCCTCCAAATTTGGATATTTGTATTAAAATTTCAGTTAAGGCTTATTCCATGAGCTTACTTATATGTATAATAAATACAGGAACAAACAAGGAGAATTAAGCATAGACATTGCAGTTACCGAATCAGCTGATAGGATATTTATCCGGTGGATTTGCTGTTGTTCCTGGACACTAACATGAAACCTTGGTTTCACAACCTTGCCTAACCCTACTGCGTAGCACAGCATGTCTGCTGTAAGAAACTCCTCTGAAGCTGAAGTATTTGTTCACACTAAAGTCTTGTATCTGATAAAAAACGTGTGATTTGTTTCATGATGATTTTCCCACGAATTTCTGCACGGACTGAAGCAAGTCATGCTAACACAGTCTTATCTCTTACAGAACAGATAATTGTTCTGAAACTCTAATCAACTCCAAGGACATTCATTTATGAATCACATGAAAGAAAAAAGTTGTTATACAGTCCTATTAAAGACATAAGAGAACAGAAAAAGCAACAAAATAGCCTTTTTTGTTGTTGTTCAGGAATTTAAAAAACCAGTTACATAAAATCAGAACTTTGAAGTAGATGACCTAATTTAGTAATCAATAGGTTACTTAGTTTTAAGTTCTGAATTAAAACTGTTAAACAAATATACTATAATAAACAATAAGACAAAAGAACAAATAATTCTTTGTTGTTTTCAACAACCGCTGAACCTAATCAATAAAATATGAACAGATAGTATTTTTATTCTGGCACCAACTCATTTGACTGTTTTATTCAATGAAACTTGGAATACTAGGGGAAAAAATCAACTTCACCTTTTATTCAATTTTGCTTTTATAAGACATATGCTAAACTCTTGCAATGTACTAGATGTACTGGTTGGCACAAAGATAGTCTTAGAACCTCCTTTCTCAAAAACTATTTGATAGTTCCAGTGACATTTTGAATTTTTTTTTCAAAGTGACAGGTGCCTAATGTGAATACTACCTTATAAAATTCCTTCTGCTCATATCAAAGCCAGAGATGATGGATGTCTTATTTTACTATGAAAGGAGGATTTCTTCTGTGAGCTGTAACTAAAGTTAAAGCAACCCTTTTGTTGGAGGAACACTTCAGTTCTATCCAGTTGGAATATTTCACTAGCTCCAAACAAAACTTTTACAAGGCACCTGAACAAAGATACTTCAAAGGAAAAAAAGAAAATACACATATTATTTATAAATGAATGTAAGTTGCTTCTTGCTTTTGAGGCTGAAGTATGAATTATGTGTGTAGCACTGCTGCATGTTTTTTGAGTTGTGACTACATCCAACACTCAGAAATGCATTAGAAAGGTCAAAAAATACTTTGTGATTATAATTTTTTTTGCTGTTTACCCAAATGAAATATCTGGAATGGAAGAAAAGCAACAACACTGTTCTGGCACTATTTTATTCCAAACCTTGGCAATATAATTAGAAGCTATAAAGGGAATACTTGTTCCCAACAACCCCCTGACCATGGGGAGGAGGGAAAAAAAGGGGAGTTTGTTTTTTTTTACTACATTACAGTTTTATGCACCATATGATGGTGCTCACATTGTGTGATTTTACAGGACTACCCTTGTCTGAGTAGAACTACTGAGAATCCCTCAGGACTGTGTGTGAGAACCTGAGGCTCTCAGTCCAAAGCCCTATAGGGTAACTAAAGTCTGCCCTATGATAAAAAAACATAAAACCAGACTTAAAAACTCTAACAAAAATGACATAGAATACTTTACCTCTAGCTGCTTCATGGCAAAAGGAGAACCATCTTGCTTTAACTTTTTAACAATTTCTTCCATACTATTTGCTGAAAAAAGACTAGAAGAAAAAAAAATCAGTTAACAAGCTGCTTCAGTCTCTGTTTTACCTTTGCAGGGTCAGTAACACATTAGAAACAGAGCATAACCAGCTGATTTGGCTTTTCTTAGCAATGTCTTCCATGTTGCTCAGTAGTGTTTCACTAGACTTTGATAACAAACTCTGGTATTTATCTATAAACTTCAATTACTACCATCAGTCTTAGCTGTATTTTGTAATATGGCAAATCTTTAGCTATCAGCTCCATTCTACTGGTTTGGTGTCAGCATCTTTTATCTCTAAATGTAGTTACTGCCATCCTTCTTGCAGAGATTTAGCTCTTTCTTATCACTCTCACTTATTTCTCCTTTCCTTAAGTTCCAAGCTGTCACAGAAATGGCCTTTACCCATTGAGTCCTGGAAATGTGTTAGGTGACAGTTCCTGTTTAATGGAACGGTTACTCTCATAAATTCCCAATATCGACAGAAAATGTTCATTTTAATGTGCCATGGCCTATGAATCAGACTACTTTGCCCAAGTATTTAATGTAGTGATGAGTGAAATACTTAATGAGGTTTAGATAAAGCTTTCTAAAGATAAAATTTAACTTAAACTTGGAGGCAATTTCTCTCACTTTATCTGTGAAATACTGTTACTAGATTTAACTTCATGTTCTCTACCCACAAGAATAAAAAATTTTAAAATAATGGTGAATACCTGTTAATCTTCTCCATATGTTCTTGAAGAGCAAACTCCTTTTCTTGATCAATTGTGCACTATTTTAAAAGCAAGTACATATTTTACTTGGTTTTACTTGGTTATTTTAGACTGAAAAGTGTTTAAAAAAATTTCAGTGACTTGTGTTCCAGAAATACCGTATCATAAAATGAACTCATAAGACAGTGCAATTTTTAATGAATTAAAATTTTGCAGTGAGTATATATGAACTTGGCACTATCCTGTGAATGTTAAAGATGTTGCCTCATACTGCAGGGCTTGCTCTGAGCTACTATGTATGCATATTGTCTGGGTGGTTATCTTGTACACAAGTAATTCTGATTATTCTATCAAAACACTTCTGTGCAATGCACTAGGAAAGTCAGTGCAGATAAATCTTGAGATTGTTTTTAAAAACAACCTTGCATTTTCTTTAAAATATACAGGCCTATGTTTAGCCTTTTTTAATGACCAAAAAAAAAAAAAGAGCATTTCTCTTCCCTCTCTTTTCTATGTCATTTAACAAAATTTTATTTAGGCATAGAAAGTGTGTGATAGATCCATCAGCCTTCTTTAGGAAGGGTGTCAAATGTTTCACATCTTCTGGCATTGAGGGGTTTGGGACATAAGCAGATGTTTCAGGAGCAGCAGCTGAAGCTGAAAAGGTTCCCTGGCATTTCAGCTCTGATAACTAAAAATACAGTTTCCTTTTCCATTCAGTGTAATCTTGTAAAGCAGGATACTGCAACATATAATCACTCCTATTTCACAGCATTCTGTTTTGTCAAAATAATCAGTACTATGATGTAAATTAGCTCATCCCATTTATTTTTTCCAATTAATCTTATTTATGAATTTAGTCATTACAAAATAGAAATAACAAGAGTAGAGACAGCTCATTTGAAAGCTGAAAAACAGCAGAGTAATTGAGTAACATTGAATACTAGTTTGACTCTAGAGGTTTTCTTTTGAAAGAGAACTGCAATGCACATCAAAAGAATTAAAACAGCCACTGATTGTAAAGGCAAACCTTTTACTTTCATGCCCATTGTTACATGGGGCTAACACAAGTATTATGGAGAGAGTGCAATGAGTTTGGAAACTCATTTTTTCAAACATAGAAAAAGATAATCAGTAACATGGATAAAAACATAATGTCTACACATATTTAACAATTTTGCTTGATTTCAGTAATTTCAGATTACCTTCATGTGATAAGAGTTCAATAAATCTGCAATTTTTTCTTTTGAAGGAGATTTCAGTGCTATCAGGTCTTTCTCCAAGGCAGGTAGCTGTTAAAAATAAGATTTAATTACAAGTAAGCAAAACAAAACATGCTACTTGAGTTATTACTATGGTATGATATACATATATAAACACTCCCTCATCCTCCCCAGCTTTGACAGACCCTAAAGAAGTACAGAGCAAACAACACAAGGAGACAGAGTTCATGTGTCAGTGTTGAACCACCCCAATTTAATTATGTCTGCAGTGACCAGCAAAGAACTGCTTCCCAAGCAGCTCCCCAAAGCAGTGCTACAGCTGCAGCAGGTAAAGCCAGGCTGCACCAGCCTGAGAGGAAAGAAAATTTTAATGGAGCGTTGCCTTCACTGCAAACTCTGCAGGTGTATAAATCTCTAGTTTCATACATCCTGCTGAGTAGATCATGCCCTTCCAACAGTGGAATTGTAAAAACAGCACCATTTGCTCCTTCCTTCAAGCAAAGCTGTCACCAGCTGGCAAGTGCTAGAAGGACAGCTTGAGGGTGTCTCACCATCCCTGCTGGCAGGGCATGGCCAGCTCATGTAAGTGCACCTCTGCAGACACCCGTGTTGGTAGCAGGGTATTGGGGTACTGCATCCCCAAAGCTCTCAGTGTGGCTGTGGGCTGTGCCCTGGCCAGCACTGTTGGCACGTTACCTTCTCAGATTCTACAAAATGCGTAGCGATGCCAACTCTGAGCACGTCCCTTCCCTTCAGCCTGCATCCTGTCAGCGCGAGGTAATAGCCAAGCTTTCCTGAGAGCCTTGGCAAGAAATACCCTCCACCTACATCGGGGAAAAGGCCTGCAATAAACAACACAAAACAAAAGTGAAGGGAGGAACTCTTGTACTAATCATCACTAGCAGCAATTTTTTCTTGTCTCGCTTTCATCTTCCTTACATAGGCATAGAAACCTTGCCCAAATTTCTCCTTGACTTGACTTGACATTTCTGGCATCAAAACCCTTCCTAAAAGCAAACTCTTGAACACTTTCCAAACTTCATCCTTCCTACTGACACATACTTTGCAAACATATACCAAAGAAGAATATTTATTCTACTTGCCAACAACTTCAGACAATTTTAGGTGCTTGAAAAATCAAGTGTGTTCTCAGAAAGGAAATAGAAGTGACTCAAAGAATTGTGAAATAATTTGTGCAAGCTCAAACTGGATGCTGCTTTTTCACTGAAATCTTTTATTATGATAAAAATATTAAACACTAATGAAGTGCCTCTTGCACAGCTTAGTTTGAACAAATTTGGGGGCTGAGAATTTAATAATCATTCAACAATATTGCCAGGGTCTTCCTGAAGGTGGAGGAACAAGATGCTGACTTAGTACTTGGCCCTTTGACAGGATTGTGACTAAGCTAATACTAAAAAATAATATTAAACTCTCCAGAGTTTAGTAACTCTCTTATATACTTTTTAAAATCTACAGATTAGGGTAATTTTTAAAAGAATTTGAAGCTGTAACTAGAATTTTAAGTACTTTTAAAAGTTGTATTGGAAAGTATATACCTTCTGTTATATAAATTGCTCACCAAAAATAAATTTAAACATCTTTTTAAACACACTTAAACTTGAGAAAACTTTAGTTTAGCTATTGATTTCAGTATTGAGATTGATTTCAGTATTTAGTCTTGGTTTCAGAAATCTGAATGCATAGAAGCAGGGTCCAATTACTACCTTGAAATCACGCCAATAGTGCATTCATGAAACTGAAAGTCTTTTAAAGAAATTAAAGGTGTTGTGGGTTTTTTTTTCCATTTCAGAGAATGAATCATGAAAATAAATAGAATACAAATGAGCAATAAGAAACTTGTAAGATAGTTGTCAAAGAAGAGGTAATAACTGGTAAAACTCATAAGGAGTTTAAATGGGGTTCTGATAGCAGATGGTAATTTTTCACTCACATGTAATTACTTTTGTTCACAAAAGTCAATGTATGTGTTATAGAAAGACCCTATTCCAAGTATTTTGAGACATGAGAAATTAGTGCTCCCTGAATAGTCCCCCCCCTTGGATGGAATAAGGGGAGGTTTCTTCCAGACAGCAGCTCTTTAGTGTTTCCCTCTTAATAATCTTTATATCTAACCCAACTCAGCTTTTCTCCTCTGGCTCTCTCTTGGTCTTCTTTTTGTTCTGCTGCTTCTAATACTTCAAAAGGTTGGGTTTAGGAGTCACTTCCTATCAGTTACAGCTGTAATATTCTATTCCCACTGATGTGTGTGCTGTCATTAATTGATTTATTCCTCATCTCCCAGGCTACTGAGACATACAACTCTTCTGAAATGCGGAATGCCTTGCTGATACCCTTTAAAAGCCCTGAGCTGTATTAACTCAAATTCACCACTTACCTTTTTTTTATCTGTACTCACATTCTCAAATAGTCTATTCTACATTTTACCTTCTCAGCTTGAGCTATCCCAACAGTGATGCCAAGACTTCTGTTTAGTTTCATGTTTCTATTCATCTGTCTCCCCTTGGATATCCTTCTACTGCAATAAAAAAACCAAACCCAACCTCATGTGAAAGTAAAACCTATCTTAAAAATGTCCTCCAAAGCAAAAAGGCAATTACATTATTCTCTCCATCCACCAGAACAACAACAGCAACATTATTTTTTTTTCTTTTTGCTGTAGTTAAAATAATACTAATGCTGGACTACTGCTCTCCCCACACTCCAGCACATTTCCAGAGGAAAAACATCTTCCTACTGGGATCCATAGTGTCCTTCCACTTGGCCATACACAGGAAATCAGTTCTAAATAAACTGTGAAGTTGATTACCTTAAGTAGCTTTAGAGGCAAATAAACCTAAATTGAATGAAGGTTTCTTTAATTAAGGAATTTACAAACAGGATTAGTGAAGGTCTACCTAATCCACTTTAAACTTACTTGGTTGCATAGTCTGCTATAGCTTCTACTGCATCCTTTTCAATGTTCCTGTCTTCCTTTTTCTCTTATGATTTTCCTCCTCTTGTCCATGTTCTACATATTGCTCTTCCCTCCATAGCACTTCCCATGTTTCTCTTTGCTGCTGGGTTGTCTTAATGCATTCCATACCTGATTTTTGGGTTTTTGTTAGCATTTAGCAATCATTTCCCAATTCCCCAGTGAAGTAAGAGAAGAGCTGTGCTACTGCTGGGCTGCCCAGGCCATGAGCCTATGCCTGTACTGCTGACTTGCAGTCTGTGCCCTGACACAGGTGCAACCGGCTCTGCTGTAATCCCAAAGGCACAACTCTGCATTTGCCAAGCAGAAGAAAGGCAGTGCTGCTACATTCTTACCTTGTCTGGCACAGGGGGTTGGGAATTTATTAATATTGACTTCTAGAAAGCTAAAAACTTAGCAGGGATATGCAAGAAAGTATCCATTATTAGAGTAACAATACCTCAAAGCCCATACCTTATACTTTCGTCCTTTGCTCTCCCCACCAGTGGTTTTTCCACACCTTGCTACTTCTGTGCTGCTTTCCAATGCTTTATCTTATCTATATAGAACTCCTACAGTCTAGAACTGCCTTTTCTTTCTATTTGCTAAGTGGCATATTTATCTACATCCTTTTATTTATGGTGCTGTACAAATGCAGAATAATTGTGTGAAAACAGATCAGCTGAATGAATGTTTTGTTTTCACTTCACAGCAAAGGTGTCATGCCTACTGAAATAAGTGAGCACATGAAAAAGATAAATTAATACAGTATCTAGAGAGCCAGACATTTAAAACACACCCCACAGAGATCAAAACAGCTAAGCCTTTAAATCCAAACAGATTTCAGTGGTTTTATTTCTAAGTGATCCTAAAAGGGGTTTAATTACTTTCTTTCCTAAGCAAGTTCTAAGCTTTTCCTTCACGTCTTCACAGTCTATTTTTGTTTAAATAACTCGTCAACACAATAAATCTGTGTAAAGTACATAGTTCTTGTTAATATAAAACTACTCATATTTTTACCTTTGAAGAAGAAAGTGAAGGTGCTTTTATTATTAGAATAAATTCATACACCAATGAACCTCTGTTTAGTTCAAAAAATACAAATTGTTTATTTCAAATGGTTTTCATATACAATAACTGATTATTAACTTCAAAGCTTAGAAAACTCATGTTGTATTAAAGCTTAAGTTTAGTCTACTAAGCTTTTCCTCAGCAATAAAACAATACTTGGAGGGCTGAAGTAGTTTTTGGCTTTTTTCATCCCAACTTTACTTGTTCAGAAAAATTACATTACATTTATCAGCTAGCAGGAATTGCACTAATATTTCTCCCAGGAATTAAAATGGTAACGAGCTTGTATTTGGGTGGTTTATTATGCTTTATTGTGCTTGACAGTTGCACCAGGAGAATTCCCTTTAATCTGACTCGTTTTTCTTGAGCCATACCTGTATCTTTATGTAGCTCTGGGATATATTTCTTTTTCGTACCTCTCAGAATTGACAAACTGTAGGATCAAACATTAGACAGCAAGGTACATGTTGCTGTTTGAAACAAAAAAAGGTGACACTGAAGACACTGTGATCTTGCCTAGGCACAATCTGTGCACAGTTGTAATGGGTCCACATTAATAATCTACAAGAAAAGCTGGAATTCCAAAATCTGTCTCATTAACATTGCAAAGCAGCTTGTGGTACACCCAATTTGACTAATATTGAGTTCCCAATGTAAAGCTGGTGTACTTGCACTGGGAGCTTAAGAGTTTATCTGTCCCCATTGGTAGCAAGACTTAGTTCTTTTTAAAAAGTTTTCTGCTGACAGCCCTTGTGTCAGTCTCCACAGTCAAGAGGCTCAATGATCAACTCCCAGAATACAGATAAGTTTCTGATAGTTTAACAGAAAGTACTTTCCATATATGGGCATCTCCAGTTCCCTTTTAAAATTCTTTCCCTACCACCAAAGCATTCAGTCACAGACATTTCACCCTGACTACACAGTGAAACCCTAAACACGTTAACATTTGATAATTTCTTAAAAAACTTACCTATTGCTGTTTCTGGCATGGCAAAAACAGTCTTTTCTGTAGCAACTCGAAAATGGCCATGGACTGAGACACCAACTCCCTATACAGGAATAGGACACAGTTATAAAATTACTGGTAAAAAGAATCATAACCACAATTATTGTTATGATTAATCATAAAAATAACAAAAATAATAATTCTATGTAACATACCTCTTGCTTTGCTTTATAATTTAAATAATATTAGATTTACCATATACAGCCCAACAAAATATTAAAAGGCCTTCTATGGTTCAAACACTAATAAAGCATCATATTATCTTCATCATTTGACTGAAATAGTTTTTCTATGCTTTGAAGGACGGGTGAGTCATACAGAGAATAACTTCAAAAAACTATGATTGTTATCTCCACTGGACTACAAAGAGAGTTGACATCCTTTTGCTAAAATGTTACTCCATCTATAATTTTTTCATGTACTTCAAATCACCACCAACAAAAATCCCAATACTTTTGAAAAATACATAAATTTCACAAAGTTGTCATCCTAATACTTTCAAAAGAATAATTAACTATTCTTCTAATGTGATAATTACCTACATTATAAACACAGAAGTATTTCAAGCAGAAAAAGCCTTCAGCATTATTGCTTCAAATTCAAAATACATGGTTAGAAACTAATTTTTTATCCTGGGCAGTTGTGTTCACCAAGTCAGTAATAGTATTCACATTTCTAAGTATCTAGCACAATTCTCTAGCAGCCTGTCATGATTAAACCCTTTCCTCAAAAGCAGAAGAGTTTCTACTGTTGTCTATGTGGTATTTGCAGATTTAGGTAGTAAGCTGCAGCAAGTACCAATTTTAAAAAAATTCATTTTGCACAAAACAAATTCAATTTAGATAAATCTTCAAGAGGCAAACTGACAAATAAAAATATTCAATGTAATCCAAGAATTCTTAGATTATAGGGCACAACTACAACATACATATTGAGGTCTCATTTCTCAAAGGTTACCTACATTATACTTGTCAGTAGAAATATGTGTTTGATCCTATCTGGAGACAAGACCCTCTGCTGAATAATTCACAAGTAGTTATTTCACACAAATATTCTCTCTTTCATCATTTCCACCATTTCAGTTTACTTCCCTTCCCTCACTGTTAATTTCCCCCTTGCTCAGACCTCCCAGTCATTCATGTTTCATGTTAAAACTAAGATATCCTAATAATCATTGGCCAAAAGAAGCCAGTGTCTGATGAAGATTTAATAAATTTCAAATAACATTTTTAATTGTTCAAATACTAGAAAAAGGGTACTTTACCCAACTAAGGCTATTAGTCTTCACAAATATCTTCACAGTATTTCATACTTCTCATCAAAAACAGTGGGATTGATTGGGTGATACTCCCTTGGATAAGCAGTATGTATTTGACATGTTTTTAAGGTGACAGAAGAACTTCTTTTTCTTTTGCTTATCTACAGAGATCTTTATGTCAAATTTTTTTAAGTTATCTCAATTTAATATAAATTAAATTTCCTCTCACCTTTCCCTGGACTCTCTTACAATTCTGCCCAAGAAACAATTAATTTATTCTATTAGGATGACACACAACTAAATCTGAAAATATTTTCAAGTATCTTCTGTGTAATGACTGTCTACCACTCTCAGCTTTTAATATAGATGTATGAAGTTTTTAAGATTCCAGTTTAATTTCCTGAGAAATGCACCCATAGGGTGAGTGGTTATCAAACTCAATTTTATATTCAGGAGCTAAGCCAAATGTATTCACATGAAGCACTGCTGTTCCAAGGAGGCAAATGGGATTTGAGCAAACATCTGAATCTTATTTGCACTGGGTAAAACCTTATGTCTCACCCCTTATCTGTCCTTTAGCTCTTTCTCTGAGCACTAGTCAGGTCTCACCTGAGCAGCAGCAAGAGCCATGGGCATGTGTTTAGCTGGCCTGAAAATGCACAGCTGTGTGTAAAGCTGCGTTCACTCCTAGAACAGCTCCAGAACGCTTAAATTAAATGGAAATGTGACTTCATCACTTCCAACTTCTTTAATGCCATAATAGCATATTTCCACTACATTAAGAAAAGCCTGCTGTTATTTTTATGCATGTTCAGCAATAAGGATGACTTTTTTCTAAAGATAATGAAATAACAATTATGCCCATTTTGGTCTTTCTAATGCTTAAATTAGTATTTTCTAATCCCATTTCTAAAAATACAAATACCATCTATCTCAAAGCATTTTTTTCTGGCTTGTTTTCTTGACAATCAGAATTTTGTTTAAGGACTCAAATTTTTGGCTTGAGTATTAAGTCCCAAAGATTCGAGTGTGAATTCCATGAAGAGAGCTTCTCTTCCAAGCTTGTTCTTTTTTTAGAGTGATAAAAATAAATGTCGGGTTCTACTAATAGAAAGCTGAAAGATGTAATTTTCTTTTGAAAGAAGTAATTAAATCAGCTTTCTCAAGTGCTTCAGCCATAATTGGATTTGTTTCTAGATAGCCTTCAAGTTTTGCACAGCCTTATTTCAGATGTCTATTTAAGAGACTAAAAATATATTTTCTTTGTATTCATTATAAAGAAAGAGGTGCAAATATGTTCTTGCTTCTCTGAAGATCATTCCTAAATAATCCAGTATTGAGATAAAATTTTGAAAGAAAAATTAGTTAATGGTACAAATCCCAGTAACTTCTTTACTGGTGTTCATATGCTTTTTTTGCTTATTGGTAACTTCCCGAATGGTTGACATACCACTGCATATTTAACCTCCTCGATCTAACACAGAGGACAGATATTCATTAGATTAATACATCCTGTGGAAAGAACAAACCAGTCAGAAGTCTGAATGCATTCCTTTCTCATTTCTGGATTTTCTAATTTTATTTTGTTTTCATTTAGCTGAACTCTTACACAGCTAGAGTCCCCACTAGGAGGCCCTTCACACCATTAAAAACCTTTTGTGTTCACTTCACCAGGTACTTCTAGCATTTACACATAAAAGTCTTAACACTCTAATATCTTTATTAAAATACACTTTATTCTGCACTGTCAGAGTTCTACTTTTCATGATCTTATGATGTCTTAAAGCTGATGTCTTCCTTCAGATTTCTCCAAGATAATACATTCCCATAGTCAATCAGGCTTTTATTGCTAGAAACTTCTTTTTCCACTGACAGCTGAATTTTGTAAAGGGTACTTGCAGAGTGAGAATAGACGTTAAGGAGAATAAAGAAATTAAGCAACCAATTTAAACTACTGGGCTGGTTTTGGGTGAGATAGAGTTAATTTTCTTCACAGAAGCTTCTTCATAGCATGGGGCTGTGTTAGTCTCAGCATACCTCAGGGAGGCACATCATTTTACAGGCAGTTCAGTCTGAATTCATCAACAAGCTTGCAAAAAATAATGTAGAGTATCTGAATTTTATTTCCCATACAACACTGCCCACTCAGCGCTGTACTTCAAAATTCATTATGTGACTGTCTATAGAAACTTTATAATTTATTTCCATTTTTTTCTCATGATGGATACAGAACCTTTATTACAAGTATTTTTTCTAATGGAAAACAACGTGACCAACAGGTGCAGAAATTAAATACAACTACTATGACTCTTCTGTGTCCCAAAGGCTATATTATCTTAAATTGAGAAAGACCCACATTTAGTAAATCAGAGAATTTAGAGAAGTTATTCAGAAATTGAGGGCAACCACAACAGATAACGATACAGAGGGAAATAAATACTCCCTTCCTGGTCACATATAGAAAAGCAGACCTGTGTCACAGCAAAACCACACATCATACTTGGCTATTTACTACATAATCTAACTCACACTGTAAAAGAATGCTGCCTAGGAATGCTTAGGCAACACAATAACAGAAACATAAATTGAAAAGGTCTTCAGAGATGTTGCTTGTGTCACCTTCACCGGGCTAGTAAATAATTTTTAGCTGTTTGAGTAAGCAGTGTTAAGATAATAACAATATTGACTGCAGTGAAAGTCCTTTTGTAACAGCTTCCATCAAGTGACTACACTTCCTACATTTTTAACTGCATGAGAATAGCTTCTGGTAGAGCTAGAACCAAAAAGAAATGTAGCAATCAATTGAGCATAAATGAGCATAACACAACAAAGGGCAAATATGTCTGCATACAAATGTGCAAAAATAGCCAAGGTGCAGCAAAAATGTTTTCAAAGGCAAAGCAAGTGAGTGGAATTGATTCAGGAAGCAGCAGGAGCTTATATCTACAGTGGATCAAAAATCATGGATGTAAGAGCATTACCCCCTGCATCCAGACACAATGAATCTTAAACTGAATCAAAATTAATCTTTGTTTATCATTAATGTTATGGCCCTCTCCAAAAAGTATAATCCATTTTCATCTGTAGATATGAACAGATAAGATGACATAGTGAGCCAGAGCAATGCAGTGTCACAAATCAATCAGGACACAGAATGTCAACTTCTCTGGCTGCTGACATATAAATCAACTCTACACAACTGTTTTAAAAATATGATTACCAACAGTGGGTATTGTGCATGTTTCAATAATTTAGTGTGGTATTTTAAAACATAAAATACTAATGTTATACAATTTAAATATAAAGTATTTGTTTCCATATGCTGATTATGTATTAGAGAGTCAGTTCAAATTGCTACAGACACATAGAAGCAAGCTGACTGGAGACAGATCATCTCTAGTAATATCTGGTGGCTCAGATTTGTTCTTCTGACCCCTAAGTATGTAAACAAATTGATCCAACCACATGAATAGTAATCATTTAGGTCAGGTTCTTCTTACAAGGAAACAGAGGAAAAAGACACAAAGGCCATTCTATGCACCAATGCTGCTACAGTGAGCTACAGTGAGTATCCTCTATCAACCAGATTTAGATTGATACTTTAAAAGCCCTAGTTTTCAGTCATCACAAACAATTTTTACTAGGGTAGCTATCATAATCTGCACAATTTTTATCGATACAAGACCCGTGCTGCAACAGAAAGGAAAGAGAAGGTGTAAGATGACCTGGATCTGAAAAGCCTATAGCTTTTAAATAGTAACAAGTGCAACTTTTTCTAGTTTTAC